ACAAATACACACACACACACACACACACACACACACAAACACACACATATAGATATATATACTAAAATTTATATATATATATATATATATATATATATATATACCATACACACACACACACACACACACACACACACACATATATATATGTTTATACATTTATAATATATATATATATATATATATATATACAATATATATATAAATATATATATATATATATATATATATATACGAAACCAGTAGATATTGGCACCAACCTTCTCTTTCGCCAGAGCACGCCTACTTTCTTCAATCAAAGATTTCAAACATTGTATACGCGCCGAGCGTTGTTGCAGCTCAGTTTGTATGGTCTGTTATAAGACAGGAATAACGCCACGATCAGTTAGAGAGATTAATGTCCGTAAGGAATAAAATGTCTGATCGCCTGGGTATGTATTGTAGATTTCTATGTATCTGTGTGGTTTTACTAAGAAGAGATGGGCACACAATCCGTCTACGTCCACTATTTAAAATGAACATACTATGAGTGCCGACCAAGGCGCAGAAAGAGACGATGCCAGTGCTGACTTCTCGGCAGCTTTCCTCATATGTTCTCTATTGTTTCGAGGTAGACCGATACCACCAATTAGAAAGCATGACAAACATCCATAGCTAAGATTGTATTCGATCGATATTAAGTAGCGAGATAAGTACTTTGACTTGTAATTTTGTCATATCCGTAAATTGCTACAAACAAGCTGTCGTATACGGCTTAAATCTCTAGAAAGCCCGCATCACATAACATCAGTGGTGCTCAGTGGGGTACTCAGTGGCATCAGTGGTGATCTGCTGGACTACAGGGAGAAAGAAATAATCTCTGTCCATAAACTCCTTTTACGCTAGCATACAGGTATATATGTGTACTGGTTGATCATTTCAGCCTACGATTATGAGGCAAGTCTTCCTTGGTATTTGAAAAGACATCCTGTCTCAATAAGATACGTAGTAAGTACGAGTACAGCACAACATCAGACGTCGGTTCATTTTACATTTTGCCTAGACGGAAAAGGATACCTATATTCGATTTTTTTGGCCTTCCTCATGTTCGCAACACAACTGCGACATATAAACGCCAATCTGGATCTACAGCATGCTTCACACTCCATCGTTGAACACTTCTTCAGCCCTTGACGATTGCTTACTTTTAATCTATATATCCTTATAAAATCCTCAGCACCCCAGTTGAAAGTAAAATATATATACGATTTCTGAAATTTTATCATACTGTACTGTACATACACAACACATATCTAAATGATCAGGAAAGCGATGACGCAGTTTTGAGTCAAGCAGGCAGTCACTCTGGAATGTAATTACATATACGGAGGGAGGATAATAAAGCGACCTGATGCAACGTGCGATGATATCATTTCTGACGCGAAATCGATCTCTACGATACCTGCGTCACAACACTTTGTGTCCTGCATGTGCGTTCATCTTGTTTGATTATTGAACTGTTGGATTGTTTCGGTCCGCTATGCTTAAGCAGTTGGTATAGGTCACAGATTCTGGATTTGAGGGCACGTTACAGAGAAGTTGGGCACGTTACAGCTGTTTAAGATAGTTAATTTAATGACAAGCCCCTTGTCTCATAATAAAAGTATTATCATGGGAGACAATATAACGTGCTGTTGTTTTCCGTATACACAAGTAAGAATTTTCTTACATACTACGGAATTCTAAACATATAATGACGACAATATGTAGTCTATACAAACGCAATTGGGTACTGCTAGCCACAAACTACCCATACACAGCACAGCGTGTTCAATGTGCGGAATAGCCTCGATACGTCGAATATTAATTAGAAACGTCTAAGCTGCGGTCATAACTGATGTTATGTGCTAAATTTCAACAGTCTCACTAATGCAGAATTAAACAAACTGCTCGCGTTCAGTAGGCTGCCAAGTAAACATATTGTTGCCCATGCGAAGACTGTTACCAAAAAATGAATCAGTTTTGGTTTATGTCCATGTTTGCTTTAAAATCTCTGTGTTGATGGTATTCTGTGATGGCGCTTCCACATTGTTTGTAAACGAGGCTCGGACGACATTGCCTGTCAAACAATTATGCATACCAAACCAGAGGCGTCAAAGGAAGACATCAATTCGCTTATATATTGAGCTGTATCTGACTCTGTCGAACTTGAGTATCAGCCTGACATTCGTTATATATATATATATATATAGAAGAATATGAATGTATGCATAACAAATGCATAACAAACATAACAAGTGTATCCATCCATCCATCCATCTATATATATATATATATATATATATATATATATATATAGCGTGACACGCTCCCTACTCAACGAGCGTGAGACCCAAGTGAAGTTCTTTAAGCGCAATCTCGTGGGGAATCTACCGGAAATTCAAAGAGTGCCACATATAGGCCAGATACGATAAGATTAGAGGCACCATTTCGTCCGGTCAAATCTGAAGTAAGCGACTATGAGAAGATGCCCACCAAAATAGCGGCAGCAACAATCGCAGCGAAGGCAGACATAAGAACCATCAGCACCTATGACGATTTAGGGTGAAAAACTTTAGTGGCAGGCGAGAATGGTTCATTCTTTACGTTAACTGTTTCCGAGGTACCTCGCAGTATTAAATAAATCAAACACGTACAATAAAACCAAACATGTGCTTGGTGTGTTTTATGAACACCTGTGCAGGTAGAAATTGTTCAGAATTGTACGTGCTTAGGGTGCACTTTTCAAACGTTCTAAATAAGTTGCCATTATACTGAAAGTAGATGACGAGACAGATTCAAAGCACGATGCTACAATGACTACAAGATCTCACAGTAGTTGACAAGCGAGTCTTTTGTATTGTTTCAGGTAGCGTGCAAGTGCAAGGCAAGATGTAAACTTCTATAACATAACTGAGAAGCGGAGAGTTATAAATAAATTAACACCCCATCCTTCATCGCACTCGCAAAAAAAAATGATAGAATGGTGAGTTATCCACTAAAATACCGAGGACGAATATAAACGATGACCAACCAACACGGGAATACAGTGTCTACCAGGCAGGACAACTTATCAAGATCGATCGAGTTTCAAGTCGGTACCGCGTGCAGAAAAATGAGCATGATGCACACGCTACCTTATCTGCCAAAACCATACTGATGGTAGATTGGCGGTGTTCAATCTTGCCTGACTCCATCTTGGCAAGGCTTGTGCGCTTGTAGAATGTAGAGTTGTATTTATTTACACTTGTGTAGGTTAGTATTTCGAAAATCAAACACTGACTGAAGCGAACCACCATCGGATCCATCTGTTTATGTTTTAAATTTTTTTTTTTTGAACCAATAATTTTCTCTCTCGATAATTCCAGCCGTTCAAAATTTATTAGCTTCTGCCCGCTTGTTTGTAAAATATATTTTAACTTTATTTTAGAGGGGGCTATGTCGTGTTTGTTGTTGAGAAATCTTGAAACCACCATATATATATAGAGCCACCTACGCACGCCACCTACGGATGTAGCCACCTACACGCACCACCTCAATTAGTGCAACCTACACTTCCCACCTACTCATACGGTACTCTTTTTACTAGCACAGTTTTTTTCTCTCGACTAGGTACACTACATGACGCAGTGTACAATAAATTAATCTGTGTTTGTTTTTTTAAAAAAGGGGGAAGAAAGGGAAATAAATAAATATTCACGTCTCCACCCCACTGCGGTCTCGACCAAGAAGAGTCTCTACAGAGGGACCTACGACAATTTTGATGTAAATATCTTTTTTAACAATACGAAGTGATCGTGAAACATCTGTGACCTGCAATATTTTGGATCATATAATGCTGAATGCGACTCAATGAACCTATCCAGGTCGAGTTTCTGCACAATGCGGATGAACAATCTATTTGTCAGAGAGCAATCAAATTGCTACTTTTTTTTATTAAATTTATTGATTGTTCAATTGAAGGCTATGTGATTGATTAATAAAATTGTTTCGCATAAGAACTGAGATAGCGTTTTCTCTTGCTACAACTTAACACTTCTTGGACTTTGGAGTCTTCTTGGGCCTTGGAAGTAGTTGGCACTTCTCTTCTCTTCAACTTGCTGTGTGTGGGAATTTTAGAGTTTCTACTATTTACTCTAAAAAAAAAATGAGAGAGAGAGAGAGAGAGAGAGAGAGGGCTTTCATTTATGTCATTTGTATGATAAAGCATAGTTTTTATCAAATATCCAACATACCGAACTGTTCCCAAAAAATCGTGTGAATATGTACATACGTGTGTCATTCTGTCAGGATTGTTGTCACAGTTGGTGTCAGTTAATTAACGCAAGTTAAATTTACACAGAATTTATATCATTTATATAAACATATATACATCATATTGACTTATGCCATGTACAGTGTTCCGCATGTAGCAGATTGGCGTTGCAACATCGACTCCAGATGCTGGAATTTAAGCATGCGTTGCTTGCCATTGGCATGCTAATCACAGGAACTATCAATACTATCATGACAACCTGGCAGGACAAAACATCCGCAGTGGGAGCAGACGGTACCACACACAAATTCGAACATCCTGGGTTCCAGACATTGACCATGTTTATGGGCGAGTCCTTGTGTCTTGTGGTATTTACGATCGTAACTAAGCGTGCTGCATACATTGAGAACAAGCAGAAACTTACTAGTGGAAGTAGAGGATCCTACTCGGCTATTTCTGGTTCGAGTGCTGCAGATATTGTACCTAAAGGAGGACCAAACGCCAAACCACTCGTACCTGTGTGGGCATTCGCTTTACCCACGCTTTGTGATCTCTCCGCCACCACTATAATGAACGTAGGCCTGATCTACACAACCGCAAGTGTGTATCAAATGATCAGAGGTGCTATGGTTCTCTTCACAGCTGTCTTTTCGGTTGTCTTTCTCAAGAGGACACTATTTCTGAAACACTACATCGGTCTTTCTATAGTAATTCTTGGAATAGTTGTCGTCGGACTGGCAAGTGTGCTGTACAGTAAACCAGGGTCCGCCATTAATCCAGCTCTAGGGAACACCCTAGTTTTCATGGCGCAACTGATCGTCGCAACACAGGTGTGCAGTGACTTTCGATTTGATGGATAATTTTGTCTGCTCATATCCTTTTTGAGTCTTCTATGCTCCTTCGTGAAATCGATGACTCACATTCGGATGTGCCTGAAAGTATTCAGACACACACACACACACACACACACACACACACACACACACACACACACACACACACACACACACACACACACACACACACACACACACACACACACACACACACACACACACACACACACACACACACACACACACACACACACACACACACACACACACACACACACACACAC